TTTTTTACTTTGCATTTTGTGAAACACAAAGAAAAACATCTAAAATGTGAGCAAATTTGGAAGTTATTGACTCAGAGTTATTTTTATTTTCTGTGCTCAGGCTGACGTAAGTAACCAGAAGTGAAATCTCACCTCCTTAGCAACGTGCATGAGCGTGCGCATAAATCGGTTAATGGGCCCTTAGAAGAAGGATCTCCAAAAAAGGATTTATTTTCAGTCATATTTATTTATAGCTTTGTATGACTTAGCTTACTTCATTGTGATTGGCTGAGAGTTCATGGGTCAATTTTTTGTTAATTCTTAATTTGCACTAACAGTGCAAATTAAGTTGCGTGCTTTCGCAATTTTCTTAGTCCTANAATGCATAGCTATGTTTCCAACATTGGCTTTAATCGAAATCTGTCAAAAAAGGCTGGATTTAAGGAAAAATCGCATTTCCTTTAGCATTTAAAGAAACCGGAAGTGCGCCCAATATATATTGGAAGTTACCCTGTCAGCGTGTGCGCAATTTACACTACCAGCAACTACCAGTACCCTTAGGTAAGATCAAACAAAGCCATACGGAGTTGGTTTTTCTCTTTCTATTGCTCTTGTTTTTCTGTTTTTCTCTTATTTTGTCTTTGCTTGTACTTTTTTTACTTTGCATTTTGTGAAACACAAAGAAAAACATCTAAAATGTGAGCAAATTTAGAAGTTATTGACTTGGAGTTATTTTTATTTTCTGCGCTCAGGCTGACGTAAGTAAGCAGAAGTGAAATCTCACCTCCTTAGCAACGTGCGTGAGCGCGCGCATCAATCGGTTAATGGGCCCTTAAAAGAAGGATCTCCAAAAAAGGATTTATTTTCAGTCATATTTATTAATAGCTTTATATGACTTAGCTTACTTCATTGTGATTGGCTGAGAGTTCATGGGTCAATTTTTTGTTAATTCTTAATTTGCACTAACAGTGCAAATTAAGTTGCGTGCTTTCGCAATTTTCTTAGTCCTATAATAATAAATGAGTAATGACATGAAAGTTCAAGCAATTACAGTGCGAATACCTGAACTGGGCCCCCTAGAAGAAAACTAACCAATCAAAACATAAACTGAGAACAATGGACTGGTAGCTTTTCGTGATGGCAAGTAATGGTCTGTGTGAAGTGAAAACAGTATTGAGTCCTC